CTAACGGTGAACTAACGGGAGGATTGAAATGGGAAGCCGTTTGAGACTCTACCTGGTGCCTGCCTTGCACACAGTTGTTGTTGTTGTTGTTGTTGTTATGTGCTGTCGAGTTGGACCCGACTCATAGCAACCCCTCCTTGGGTTTCCGAGGCAGTATCACTATGAAAGTGCCCCATCTTTCTTCCGAGGAGTGTCTGGTGGGTTGGAACTACCAGCCTTCTGGTTAGCAATCAAGTGCCTTAGGCACTACGCTACCAGAGCTCCCTGGTATACAGCAGGAGTGCTTATACAGAGACACTGCTTGGGTCATGGTTGGAGGAAGAGAGCACCCTGATCACACCCAGCCCCTGCACAGAGGGACGGGCCCTGAGAGCAGGCCAGGCGGCTCCGGCAGCCTGGGGTCCCCTGACTGCCTGTGTCGGGCCCTCTGCTGCCCTCGTTGATGGGACCTGGGCATCCTTCCAGAATCTTCATCTCGTCCCACCTCTCTCTGATTTCTGGCAGGAACTGGAAACCTTTTCTCTGCTCAGTAATGGCACGGTGGCTGGCATGGCTGATCAGGTAGGATGAGGCTGGGACCCTGAGCCCCTTTCCCACCCCCGGTGCTAACCTGTTCACCCACCCCGAGGGCTTTGACTTCACTCTCTGGGGTGTGAACAACCCTGGGAGGTAGGTCCAGGCCATCAGGCTGAGAGCTGAGTTCCACGCTGTCCCGGTCCCATTGCTGTGAACCAGGTGTGTGCCCTGGGAAGAGGGGACTGGAGGCTTGGCCTGGGCTCCGGACCCACAGCACCCCACCTTCCCACGAGGTGCCTCCTGTGACCACAGCAGCAAGCGTCAGATGGGCCATGGCTGCTGCTGGCCGTAGTGGTAGCCTTGTTCACAGGCCCCGGCCAGGACAGTGCCTGAGCAGTCTGGTCCAGTTGGCTTTTTCCTTGCGCGGCCCCTCCTGACTCATCTCACTGACCCGTCTGTGAGTCGGAGCCTCTGGGTCCTGCTTCTGGCTCACTCTGCCTTGAATGTCTCCCCTGCTCCGCCTGCCCTTTCTCTCCTGTCTTTGTTCATCGTCCCCTCCTCACTGAGACCTTCCCTGCACCTCTGCCCAGTGCTCCTCTCCCCTGGGGGCTGCTGCCCAGAGGTGGGAGGGGAATCTCAGGCTTCAGACTGACAGTTAAGAGCCAGTGTGACCGTCTGCTGCTGTGCCCTCGGACACAGGCTTTTCATCTCTGACCTACTTCTGTTCCTGTGAAACGGGGGTGTCTGACCCTCAGCCAGGGTAGAGGAGGGAAGCACTGTGTCACCTGAGAAGGAGGGACCCATGGGGGCACGATGGGTGGGAACGGCTGCTAGCTGCAGTCTCCCCTCTCCACTCTAAGGGCCATATCCTTGTGTAGCCACTCAGGCCTGGCTTGACCTGGGGGTCACAGTAGGCCCAGCACGCTCACCCCACAGAGGCTGCTTGAGTGGACTTCGAGGAGTTCTGGAGAGTGAAGGACAGGCCATAAGAGCCCTGACAGAGCCTGGAGGCTGTCTGCCTCATACATACGGGGAAATTGAGGCACAAAGTGGAGAGGAAACTCGGCCAGTGTCATACAGCAAGGTGGCGGCAAGCCTCCCTTCCTCCAGATGCTCTCCAGCTGTTTCATTTGTTCCCTCAGAACCCCCCCTCCCAGGCTGACCCTGGTGGGACAGGGGGCCTGGCAGCCCTCACCCTGGGCGCCTCCACCTCCTCCCATTCCCAGGGAGCATTTCTTTCTTTCTTTCTTTTTTTTAATTGTGATTTGGGTGAAAATTTACAGAGCAAATTCATTTTCCATACAGCAGTTCATACACGTTTTGTCATATGACATTGACTGCAGTCCCCACAGAAAGCTCTCTTCCCGCTTCTTCCCCATGGTTACCTCTTCCCTGTGTCCTTCCCTCCCATACTCCTGGCCCTCCACCCCACCCTCCAGATGTCTCCCTGTGCAAACACTGTCCTGTTCTGTCTCGATCGATCTCTCCAAGGAGTGTTATCTGCCTAATGTAAATGTTCACCCTATATGCCTGTCTTTTGTTTGGCTGGAAGCCACAGGAGTGGGTTCAATTCTAGGCCTATAGGGCAGCTGGGGGCCACAGTCTCAGGGGTCTCACCGGGTCTTTTGTTATGATTTTTCAGGGGGCATTTCTTGAGTCAAAAGTCAAAATGTCTGTGGAAATCATGGTAGAGAGTGGGAACCGTGGGCAGCAAAGGGGCTACGTGCTGGTTCTGTCGGTGCCCCAGGCGCCCCTCTGCAGGTCGCGAGCAGTGATCGTGGGGAGGAGAGAGCCCAGGGGACCCTGAATGCTGGCAACAGAGCCTTCCCACCTGATCCCCCCTTCCCTCCTCTCCACAGGGAACTTCCAATGGATTGGGGTCCATCGATGATATCGAAACAGGTAGTGTCCCTGGAATAGGGGGACTGGGGGACCTGCGGCACAAGGGAGGCCTCAGCCCCTCACCCCAAGACCCCTGGGAGGTCAGGCACCTCAAAGCCCTATAGCTGCAGACCTGTAGACAGAGGCTTCTTAGGGGCTGTCTGCCCTGGGGACTCCCCGAGACATGAAAGACAATGGGGGACTGAGGAACAGCAGGCCCTTGGAGGGGACACAGGCCGGCCTGTGTCCTCTGCCCGCCCCCAAAGGCCGCCTCTTTCAGCATCTCTCCTCACTGGCTTCCAAGAAAGGGCACGTGTTCTTAGCGTCCTCGGAGAGAGAGTTGCTTACCCCAGAAGGAGGAGGCAATGATTATGGATATTCGAGCCTGAACTAACTAGCCCGTCAGCCTGTTGGGAGAGACTAAGGGGCCCTCTCCTGCTGTGAGACACCATCCTTGACCACTGCTGAGCGTTCACCAAGGGACTGGGCCATCAGGGCAGGCAGGGTTCCTGGCAGGAGCTGGGGGGCAGAGAAGAGGTGTTGGAGGAGGACCCCAGGGCCCTGGAACACCTCCCCCTCCACCAAGCAGGACCCCCTGTGACTGCTGAGCCCACCCCCCTCCACAGACTGCTATGTGGACCCGCGAGGCTCCCCGGCCCCCCTGCCCTCCACCCCCACGATGCCCCTGTTCCCCCACGTTCTGGACCTGCTGGCCCCCCTGGATGGCGGCAGGGTCCTCCCCAGCACCGAGAGCCTGGACGACTTCTCCGACGGGGACGTCTTTGGTCCGGAGCTGGACACCCTCCTGGACTCGCTGGTGAGGGTGCCACTGCCCTTCTGCTCCCCTGTGCCCTCCCCCGGCATGAAGCTGCCAAGAATTGAGGATCATAGAGGCCCTTGTCCCTCCCACCGGACAGGCTGGGCACTGAGGTCCAGAGCTCCCGATTCTGTACTCCCCTGTGACCCCTCCTCTCTGTCCCCCTTCCAGTCTCTGGTCCAGGGAGGCCTGCCTGGTGGCGGCCTGCCCAGTGAGTTGCCCCAGCTGATACCCGTGTTTCCCGGTGGAACCCCGCTGCTGCCGCCCGTGGTGGGCGGCTCCGTCCCTGTCTCCAGCCCGCTGCCCCCTGCCTCTTTTGGCCTCGTCATGGACTCCTCCAAGAAGCTGGCTGCCTCCATGCTGGATGCCCTCGACGCCCCAGGCTCTGCCCTGGACTCCCTGGACCTGCTGCCGTACTCCGAGACACGGCTGGACGTGCTCGACAGCTTCGGGTCCACTCGCAGCTCGTTGGACAAGCCCGACTCCTTCTCCATGGGTGAGGCCTGGGCGGCACCTTCACCCCACCTCCTAAGACGGTTTTCAGAGGACCATCCCATCTGCAGGGTTCTCCTGGGGAGGGTTCTCTGAGGGTTCTCCTTGAGAGGCAGAGGTACCCCTGGTTTACAGATGAGTGTGTTGAGGTTCAGAAAGGGTAAGTGACTCACCTAGGGTCATTCAGCTGATAAGTGTAGAACTGGCATGTCTGCCCTGGCTGCCTTTGTAAGCTGGGGCCGAGACCATGTCTGTGCACTGCTGTGCCACCTCAGCCCAGTACTGGGGGCCGAGCCCAAGAGCCAGCAATCTTGTGCAACATCAGACAGAGCTGAGCTGGGTCATTCAGGATGCCAGAGCTCCTGGCTGGCGAGACTGTGACCCCACGGGGATGATCATGAGCACATGGGGAGGGCACAAGGCCTTGTGTTGCCAGTACCACTTGGGCTGAGTGCCAGGAACCCAAATAGGAAGTGGACCCACATGAGCCTCAAGGAAGTCACTCTCAGACAGTAAGATAGACTCAGGGTGCTCACAGCTGAGAGAGGCCCAAAAAAGGCTTCCCAGCCTCAGGGCCAAGACTTCTGGGAGAAGGTGATGGCTGAGAGGTATCTTGAAGGAAAGACCACTGTTTGCCAGGCAGAGGGAACAGTGGGAGTGGATGGTGGACCCGCAGAGCAGTTGGCCGGAGGGGCGTTGGGGGTGACATTGTGAGACTCGAGGCTGACCTCAGAGGACCTGTAAGCCAGGCAGGTGACCCCGTCTTCTCCGTCCCCAGAGGAGACCACTGCGCAGGACCATTGTCCTCCAAGCAGCACTCAGAAGCCAGCCCCCTCGGTGAGTGACGCGGGTGGGATCTGTGACCAGACCCCTTCTGCCCTCCTGGGTGGGCTCTAGAATGAGGACTGAGCCCTCTGAATGGGATAAAGGGTGGCAAACCCCCACCACAATATGGAGGACCAGACGGGGCATCCTCAGAGTCAATGGGCCAGAGATGACCTCTTCTAACCCTTCCTCACCCTTCTCTGATGGAAGAGGGCGGCAAGGCCCAGAGGAGTTAAGTGACCTCCCGGGACTGGTACTATCCTTGGTTTCCAGACTGACCAGGTTCTGCATTTAAGAGAGCACCTGGCCAGGCGTTAGACAGCCTGTACTCACCTCAGCAAGACACTGGCTGCATGGCCCTGTGGATGTCACCCAGTCTCTCTGAGTCTTGCCTTCCTATTCATCTCCTGATGGCTTGGGTCAAAGGTGTTGGGGGTTGAAGCTGGGGGGTCGTGCATAGAGCCCCTCTTGTTTCTCTGCTTTCATCCAAGGAAAGGTTTGGGACCTAGATCACTGTCACCCACCTACCTCCATTAGCCTCCCCACTTGCTTCCCAAAACGGGGCCAGTCCTGATGTCCTGGGTTTTGGGCCATGTCACAAGAAGCTTTGGGCTGGGAGGAAGCGGAGGGTCCCAGCTACAGTTCTGTTGTTGGATGGGTTGAGGAGGGTCATAGCATGCCCCCTGGTGCCCCAGGCTGGCCCTGGTGGCCCCAGCCACCCTCCACTATCCAAGATGGCCGCCCTTCTCCTGTCACAGCCAGAGCCCTCCATGCCCAACACTGCCTTGCTCATCAAGAACCCCTTGGCTGCCACTCACGAGTTCAAGCAGGCCTGCCAGCTCTGCTACCCCAAGACAGGTAAGGCTGCACCTCTGACAACGCACCCTCTGCCCCAGAGATGCCAAGAGTCGCTGGCGTTTAGAAGCCCAGAATTTAGAGAGCTTGCCAGAGGGTAGTCAGCAAAATAGAAACCAGTCCGGGTATTTGGAGCTGAAGCGATGCTGAAGGGAGTCGGGCACTTCCAAAACTGTCGGAAAGACCAGAGGAGCAGAAGCCAGGTTCCGCTGGCCCTTGAGGCCACCTCTCCACCAGCCAAGGACCGGAAGTCAGCCTGTGCTGCTCTCACGCCGACGTCAGAAAGCTGCAGGAAACTGCTGGCTGTGTCAAGGTGGCCTCGAGGCCCTTGGGCTGGCAGCTGGCCGTGGAGTGCAGAGTCCATATGGCTGCTGCAGCCGGAGAAGCAGCCTGCACCGCTCCTCTGTGGCATCCCCCTCTCACACGAGGGCATCTCATTGGGTGGGCTTAAGCCTTACCCAGAACCTAGGCAGCAGAGGAGTCTGGGAAATGGAGTTCTTGTTTCCCAGGTCCTACAAGTCAGGACAATAGGAAGCCGTTCAGAATGGAGACCCAGAGCTGATAATCATATTCAAGATGCCTAAATTCTCAGAATTCCAGAGTCTTAGACTCATGGCAAGGGGCTCTGGTGGTGTAGTGGTTAAGGCATTTGGCTACTAACCGAAGGTCAGTGGTTCGAACCCACCAGCCACTCTGTGGAAGAAGATGAGGTAATATGCTTCCATAAAGATTTACAGCTTTGGAAACTCTATAGGGGTCACTATGAATCCAAATTGACTCTGGCAGTGAGTTTGGTTTGAGTTTGAGACTCATGGCATTCCATTTGCCAGAATCCCATGGTCCTAAAATTTTAGGATGATGTTCTCCAGGGATCCCAGTTAATCTAATTCCCAGGTAATTCTTAACTGCTGTATTAAAAATCTGAGCAGTCTGGAATTCCTAATTTCAGAAGTGTTGGCATTGACAGGAACTTAGGGGGCATCTTGTTGCTATTGTCCAGCCACTACAGGTCCATCCTCTGTATGGCCCCCAGACCTGCTGGGGTGGGGGACAGTCCATTCTCTTGTGGGAAGGCTCTGCCCATAAGGAAATTCTTTCTTGTGGGGAGCTCAAGCTGCCTCCCCAATCCAGGTATCCCCACTTCCTCCACCTGGGAGCTCAACGAAGGCCTTGCTGGCAACACTTGGCTGGTTCCTCTTGGTCTCTGAGGGTTACAAGGTCCTCCCCTACCCCTGCCCACTGGTCAAAAGGTTTGAGAGGACCAGGGAAGGGAAAGGAGTGGAAGAGGAAGCATGAATCCGGACATGGCATTCCAGGGCAGAAAAGGGAAGGGCCTACCTGCGGGGCTGCTCTCAGCCAGTCGGTGTCTTCAGAACCACTCAAACAGTCAGGTTCACTCTAGAGTCAGGGTGGTGTTAGAAAGGGTGCCATGAAGGGCTTCCTTGGAGGGGCCCTCCCCTCAACACATAGCCTCCCAGGTGCATAAAGCAGGGGAGGGTGTGGCGGGGCCAGTGGGAGCCCCAGGTGAGGGGAGCTGGGTTTTCTGGCTGGTAAAAGGGCTGAGTCCCACTTACGGCTTGGGCCCACCAGCTAGGATCCTTCAGTTCTGTTTCCAGAATATGTCCCCATCTACCGCTGCCACAGGCCCCAGGGCAGGTGACTACACCCACCGTGAGGGCCTGGAACACAAGTGTAAGCGGGACATCCTGCTCGGCCGGCTCCGGAGTGCCGAGGACCAGACTTGGAAACGCATCCGGCCCCGGCCCACCAAGACCAGCTTCGTGGGCTCCTACTACCTGTGCAAAGGTGAGTGGGTGGTGGCAGGGGGTGGGGCTGTCAGCCCTGCTGCTCCCCCCACAGCCTCTGCGGGAGACAGAGCAGGCGGTCCTCAGCCCACCTGGGGCTCCGGGAGTCCCCGAGGAACCTGAGGCCACATCTGAAGGAGCACCTCTTGTCCCTCTGACTGGCCTCCTCAGGGAGGCGAGGGGCGTTTGGCCACCACACCGCAGGCTGCACTCTCGATCGTGAGGGTCAGATAGTGATGGAGAGAGCTCAGCGTGCCACTCAGTGTCCCCTCTGTTGGGAGGACATGAGAAGGAGCCATGTGAAGCAGGACTGGCATCTAGTAAGGGCTTGATGGGCATTAGAAACCATTTCCTGCAGCAAGTCGATTCCGAGTCATGGCGACCCCTCCTTGGGTTTCCAAGGCGGTATCTCTACGGAAGTAGATTGCCCAACCTTCCTTCCAAGGAGTGGCTGGTAGATTTGAATCACTAGCCTTCTGGTTAGCAGTCAAATGCCTAAGCACTATGCCACCAGAGCTCCCATCAGCCTTTGGTGATGGTTAGGTTGTCATTGTCCTCGCTCCTGGCTCATGTCAGTGGGTCAACATTAGTTAGACCCTTGTGTGTACCTTAAGCTCTTTCCTCTGTTCCCCAACGAAGCATCTTGGGCCAGCCTGTATGGCAGAACAAGAGTAGTCATGATTCTGTTAAGCTCTGCATAGTGTACCCCAAAACAACTCTGCCAGCATACCCCAGCTCCCCCCAGACCTGCCCTGGCCATGGCAGTAGGCCCACCCTGGGCTTCTTGGACCCACTCACTGTTCACCCTGCAACCAGGCCGGTCTTATTAAATAAAACACCCTGGGCTTGAAGTCCTCCAAGACCACTCCCCATGGCCAATGAGATGAAGCGCAGACTCTACGATGAGGCTGCTAAGGCCCCCGGCCCCTCCCACCTGTCTGCCCTAAGCCTTTCCCCAGTGCTGCCCCTCTCCTGGCTCCCTCGCACACACTGTGCCCTTTAACTTCTCATGCTCACCCTCTGCTCCTCCTCCATGTGTCCCCTTGGGTCTTGGGACGCTCTTCTCTGCAGTGTCTCCCCCAATCGCACTTGCACCCCAGCCCTGGGTTTGGAGCCCCAGTGACAGTCTGACAGTTAGCCTGTGGACCCAACTGCTTCTCCTTATGTTTGTCTGTCTTTTTTTTCCCAGTTGTGCTTTAGGTGAAAGTTCACAGACCACATTAGTTCCCATTCAACAGTTTGCACATTGAGTGTCCACGACTTTGGTTGCATTCCCCACAGTGTGTCAGCACGCTTCCCATTTCTGCCCTGGGGTCCCCGTTGCCTTTCCTCTGGATTTTTCTGCCCCTCCCTGCCTTCTCATCTTTACTTTGGGCAAACGTCGTCCTTTGATCTCGTCTAATTGATTGTTCTAAGGACACGTTCCTCTTGGTGTTATTGTTTATTTTATGAGCCTGTCTGTTGTCTGGCTGGAAAGTGGTCTCCAGGCATGGCTGCAGTTCCACATTCCTTGTGTTTCCAGAGCCCAGCAGAGAGGCGAGACAGGCCTCCTCAGAGGCCAGGAGGAGGGAGGGAGGGAAAGAAAAAGCCCCCATGACCGGGAAACAGCAGGGCTTCGGATCCCAGGCCTGCTTCCCTTGCTCCAGACTCCCAGGCACCCTGGCACCCCGGCAGTTTATTTATTTTTTTTATCTCATTTAAACCCTCAGTTTATGGAAAAGGCAACTGAGGCTCAGAGAATAACTTACCCAGAGTCACCCAGCTGGATCCCAGCCCAATTCTGTGATGCCAAAGCCCGTGTCTTAACCCCACACTGTTACTTTCCTGGTGAAGAGTAATGAAAAAAACACTCATTTATTCATTTTTAAATAATGTTTTATTGTCTTTTTGGTGACACCTTCCACAGCAGGTTAGGTTCCAATTTAACAAGTTAACCATCACTGTGCACACTGCTCAGACACCATTAGGTTTCTCACAATGGGTTCCCCTTCTCATTCATTCCCTTCCAGCCGTCTGGTCTCCCTGTCCCTGTCCCCTTTCATCATTGCTCTAAAGCAATTGTGGACCATTTGGTATCAGACAGATAATTTTTTTGTGTGTGTGATTTGGGTGAAAGTTTATAGAGCAACTTCCTTTTCTATATGGCAGTTCACATACACTTTATTTCATGAGATTGACTGCATTCTCCCACAATGTAACAGCTCCCTTCCCACTTTCTCCTCATAGTTACCTCTTCTCTGTGTCCTTCCCTTCCATGCACTCCTGCCCCCTGAGCTATCACCCTGTGCATAAACAGCCCTTCTATTCTCCCATGATTGATCTCTCCAAGTAGTGTATCTACCTGATGTAAATGTTCAGCCTGTATCCTGGTCTTTTATTTGTCTAGAAGTCACAGGAGTGATTTTGTTCTGGTTCCCTAGTGCCTCTCTGAGAGGAATATACCACCAATGGGATGGCCTTAACAAACAGGAGTTTATTCTTACAATTTTGGAGGCTTTAAGTCTGAGTTCAAAGTGCCAGGCTCTAGGAGCTGGGTGAAAGCCCCTCAACCTTGGGGTCCAGCTCTGTCTCCTGCTCCCAGCCCACTGGAGTTAGAGGCTTTTCTTCACTCAGCTGCTGGTTGCTGATGTTGAGAACCCCCAAGGTTGACAAGTTAAAAGGAACAGTCCTGATGTTACCAAACCACACGGCAGGCCATTAACTCAAGTCCATTGAAAGCCCCAAGGTTGGCAGAGCATGGCAGGCTGCTGAACAACGACACGGCTACATGCAGAGTTCAGGCCTGCCATAAGCTAGAGACCATTCCCAAACTGTTTCTTATATTCGGGAAGCAGACCACATACCCAAAGCAGCTACTCAGCTGCTCCACCATAGAGTTAATTACCAGTCTCACCATGGGGAATACTACATTCAGCTGGCCAGCCACTCAACCAGGCCCAGCCAAGTTGACACACAAATTTAACTTCCACAGAGTCCAATTCCAGACTGAAGGGCAGCTAGAGGCCATGTTGTTGTTGTTGTTGTTATGTGCCGTCGAGTCGGCCCCGACTCATAGCGACCCCTCCTTGGGTTTCCGAGGCAGTATCACTACGGAAGTAGGATTGCCCAACCTTCCTTCCGAGGAGTGGCTGGTGGGTTTGAACCGCCAGCCTTCTGGTTAGCAGTCAAGTGCTTTAGCCACTATGCTACCAGAGGTCCTAGTCTCAGGGATTTCATCAGGCTCCATCAGACCAGCAAGACTGGTCTTTTATATAATTTTGAGTTTTGTTCTACATTGTTCTCCCACTCTATCCAAGATCTGCTACATAGATCCTCCTCCGAGTGGTTGACAGTGGTAGCCAGGCACCATCTAGTTCTTCTGGTCTCATGGTCATATAGGCTGAGGATCACATAATCTACTGGTCCCTTGGACTAATTGTTTCCATGCGTCTTTGTTTTTCTTCACTCCTCTTTGCTCTGAATGAGGAGAGACCCATCGTTGCATTTAGATGGTCACTTGCAAGCTTTTAAGATCCCAGTTGCTACTCACTAAAGTAGGAGGTGGAACAGTGTTTTGGTGTAGTATGTTATGCCATGGAGCTGGATGTCTCCTGCAACCATGGTCCCAAGCCCACAGGTCCAACTACTCCCTCCAGATAGCTGACTGTGGCCAAGAAGTCACCACAATCATGAGTAATATTCTTAACGAGCCACTCTATTATTTAGCTAAAAGGTGCTTTCAGGGGGTAGTTTCCATTCCAGGTTTATGGAGCATCTCAGGGCAGTGTTCTCAGGGAGTCTTCCAGTCTCAGCTAGTCTAGTGCATCAGGACTTTTCAAGAATCTGAGTTCTCTTCCACATTTTTCTTCTGTTATGTCAGGATCCATTTATTGTGGCCCCATCATTAGTGGGAGCCGGGCACCATCTAGTTCTGATTTCAGGGTAGATGAGACCATGGTTTGTATAGGCTATTCATCTGTCATCTGGTTTCTTTCTAAGTCATCCTTCCCTTCTTTCTCCTTTGCTCCAGAGGAGATGAGTTCGATAGTTGTCTCTTAGAGGCACTCCTAGTTCCGTACAGGCATGTGCATCTGTAAAGCCCTTTTCATACCTTCCATCTTAGTTGACCCTGTGGGGTAAGGACAGCACAAGTGAGAGTCACCTTTTCAGGTGAAGCTTCAGGCTCCCCTACCAAACGCCACCCCAGTAGAGAGCAGAGAAGGACACCTAGCCTTTAGGAAGGGCTGTGCTCCTCCAGACTCCTTGTATGAGACAGGCTGGCCACCCCAACCTGGGACAGCGAGGACCTGCGACCCGCCCAGGGCCACCGCACACAGTAGTGGCCATGGTGGCTCTGCGGGCTGCCGTCCCCGCCTGGCGGAACGTGTGTCCTGTTGCCTCTTTGCAGACATGATTAACAAGCAGGACTGTAAGTACGGGGATAACTGCACCTTCGCCTACCATCAGGAGGAGATCGACGTGTGGACCGAGGAGCGGAAGGGCACCCTCAACCGGGACCTGCTCTTCGACCCGCTGGGGGGCGTCCGGCGCGGCAGCCTCACCATCGCCAAGCTCCTCAAGGAGCACCAGGGCATCTTCACCTTCCTCTGCGAGGTACCCGCCCCGCCCCGCCCCTGCTCAGTCCACCGTGCCGCAGGCCTGGGGGATGCTCCCTGGCACACTCGATCATGGAATGTCAGGCCTGGAGTATGGAGAGGCAGGACTCGAATCAGCAGGTTCCCGGACTGTCAGAAGCATTAGGGCTGCAGATCCTGTCACGCTAGAGCCCCGATCCTAGCCATCCCCCTCATTTTGTGGAGGAGGAAGTTAAGGCCAGAGACAGGAAGTTAAGGCCAGAGAGAATAGCCTCACGCCTGTTCTTCCTGATGGCCGGTTCCCTCCAGGCTCTGAGCCAGGTCCTTCAGGTCCTCATCCAGTCCTCCCAGCAGCCCCGCCTGGCAGATACGATTGTCCCCATTTCACGGACCCTGAAGCTGAGGCTTGGGGAGCTAGAATGGTTGCCCTGAGGCTGCATGGCTGGCTTAGGGCAGACCTGAGGCTCACACCGAGGCAGTTGGTGCCTGGAGCCCATGTCCATCCCCCAGCACCAGCTGCTACTGAGGGTCCTCACAGCCTGTGAAGCAGGCCTGCTGGGGCCTTGCGCAGGGCTGCCCGCAAATCCCCGTTGTGGGCACAGTGTGGTGGGTGCTGCCCCATTTCTCACCCCTCCCCCCAACACTCTCCCTGTGTTTCTGCATCTCTGACTCCTGGAGGCTCCAGTCTCCCAACCTCCACTGAGCTGTTAGTTCTCTCCCTAGAGTTGTCACAGAGACCTCACTCGGGCTCAGGGGCGAGCTTGGCCCCCAGTTTCCCTAGCTAGGTGTGGCATGTTGAGGGAGGAGCGTGTCTGATCTGGGTCCAGGCAGGGCCAGTGTGGACTCCTAGTGAGTGGGGTGTGGCCCAGCCTGGCACACCTCCGTCTTCTGTTAGGGATCCGTGGGCTGGAGTCACAGTGGGCAGTTTCAAAGCCGCTGCCCTTCTGGCATCCCCTGTACCTTTCACAGCGAGCCTGTGGGCCACAGCCTGTGTGCTTGTCCCCACTGAGGCTGACAAGGGTAACCCCCTGCCCCAGGCATTTGGAGTGGGGCAGTCAGAGAGGAGGGAGAGAATAGGAGCCCAGGCCCATGTCATCTGTAAGCACAGCCAGAGATGGGGTCACAGACCCTGGGATCCACTTCCTCACTCTCTCAACCCAGGGCAGGGTATGAGGGTCCCTTTGCCCTCTCCCAAAGTATCCGTGCAGGATCCGGGCACACCCCCTCCCCAGGTGGCCTTGTGAGGTCCCCCACCCTCTCCCCAAGTGTCTATGAAGGATCCTGGCCCACCCTCTTCCCAGGTGGCCATGCAGGGACCTGAGTGGTCATGTGGGGTCTCCCACCCTCTCCCCAGGTGACTGTGTGTGGTCCTGGCCCACCTTTAACCTGGGTGGCCATGGGGGTATCCCCATCCTCTCCCAGGGTGGTCATGTGGAGTTCTGGCCTGCCCCCAACTTTGGAGGCCACACAGGATCCCCCACTTTCTCCCTGAGACCATGTGGGGTCCTGGCCTGCCCCTAACCTGGGTGGCCATGTAGGTTCCCCCCCCAACCTGGGTGGCTATGTGGGTTCCCCCACCCACTTCCTGGGTGACCATGCGGGGTCCCGGCCTGCCCCCAACTTGGGAGGCCACGCAGGGTCCCAGCCCACTGCCTCCCTGGGCAGATCTGCTTTGACAGTAAACCCCGGATCATCAGCAAAGGCACCAAGGACTCTCCATCCGTCTGCTCGAACCTGGCCGCCAAGCACAGCTTCTACAACAACAAGTAAGCGGCCGCGGCCCGGCCTCTGGGCCTGGGGGCAGGGGCAAGGCAGGAGGGGAGCCCCACAGCAGCCCCCATGACTAGGCACCAGCTGAGGCCCATGGGTGCCCCTGGCTGTCCAGGGCCAGGGCCAGATTTGGGTGTGCTCTTTGCCGTCCCGGGAAGGCCGGAAGCACGCTTGAGCACCTCCCCCACTCCAGGGGTCCTCCTAGGCGTTCACATCTCAGTGACTCTGTGGGGCGTGGGAGTGTCCATTTTACAGATGAGAAAACTGAGACCTCGGAATAGCGTACTCAGCAGGCAGGGGGTGGGACCAGGCCTGTCTCGTGTCCTCCCCTGAGCAGCACCCATGGGAGATGGTGCAAGGGGGCTGGATGCATCGCCATCCCCCTTTGCACCCGCTTCCTCCCTGTGGCTCTGCCCCAGTGTGAGTGCTACAGCCCAGCCCCTGGCATCAGACAGACCCAAGTTCAAATCCCAGCCCGGCCGGTGCCTGCCATATGTCCTGTGAGCGCTCTGACCCATAGTTTCCTCATCTGCAGAGGAAATGATGATCCTGATTTCCTGGGGTCAGAGGGAGGGTCATTCAGCTTCCTGACTCAGTGAGGGTGCTCAAGGACCATTCCTTTGGGTGCAGGCCATCTCCAGGCACCAAGGTGGGGCCCTGAGGAAAATACTCCCCCACCTGCGGGCCTCCCCCAGCCTCCCAGCAGGGCACCTGCTGCCCTCCCTCCAGCCCCCCAGCAGGGGCACCTGCTATTGGCAGCTCTGTTGCTGAGCTAGCCCCAGATCTTCGCCTGAGGGAGGGACCACAGCTAGGAAAGCCCCGAGGTAGGACTCAAACCAGGACTACTGGAGTGTAGACTTTATCTCTTAGCTCCTGAGCTGACCGTGTTCTAGAAACAGCCCACAGGGCAGGAGGCCCCAAGGAGGAGGTCTCTCCTTAGGCTGGCCTTGCAGCGGGAAGAGTGGTCCTCAGGGATGCTTGACGGGGGGTTGCGGGGACTGCCGAGTGCATCAGGCCCCGCCCCACCTCCCCACCAGGTGCCTGGTGCACATCGTCCGCTCCACCTCCCTCAAGTACTCCAAGATCCGCCAGTTCCAGGAGCACTTCCAGTTTGACGTGTGCCGCCATGAGGTGCGCTACGGCTGCCTGCGGGAGGACAGCTGCCACTTCGCCCACAGCTTCATTGAGCTCAAGGTGTGGCTGCTGCAGCAGTACTCAGGTGAGCCTCACGCGGCCAAGGGGAGGCTGGGGTAGGAGCGGCAGGTGCCCGGGGTGCTGCAGAAGCATCCAGAGGAGGTGGAGGCTAGACACTCTCTGGAGCAAGTGTGCGTCCTGCACACCACGTAGGAGACAGGTTCTGCCCTCAGGAGGCTGCCAGTCTCCCTGAGTTTATCCTTGTCCGGGTACTGCTAGGGGGTCAGCACTTTGGAGCCAGGCGGACCTGGGCTCCCATTCCTGGCCCTGTATTTACTACCTGAGTGGTCGTCGGTAAGTCCCTTGCCCTCTCTGTGCCTCCGTTTGCTCATCTGTGAAATGGGGATCAAAACATTTGTCTCCTGGAGTTGTTGAGGAGATGAAAAGATAGCTGCTCATTTACCCGCTTGCTCATTCATTCCCTCACTCATCATTCCTTCATCCACCGAGGATTTGTTGAGCACCTGCTCTGGGCCAGGGATTCAGCAGTGAACACATGGCAGCCCTTAATCTCAGAGAACTTACGTTCGTAAGTAGAGGTGATGGAGATAGTGAACAAAGAGCCATAATCCTGTATTCCAGCTTCTCTGGGATGCCTGTCCCCCCTCCTGCACACACACAGAGTACATGTCTTAGTTTACTTAGCAGCAGTGTTTTGTGGGAAGAAATGATGAAGTAAAGGAGCTCAAAGGGCAGCTTGAGAGGACAAAGTAAAGTATTACAATGAAATGTGCAAAGATCTTGAGTTGGAAAGCCAAAAGGGAAGAACACACTCATCATTTCTCAAGCTAAAAGAGCTGAAGAAAAAATTCAAGCCTTGAGTTGCCATGTTGAAGGATTTTATGAGGAAAATATTGAATGGTGCAGGAAACATCCAAAGAAGATGGAAGGAATACACAGAGTCACTGTACCAAAAAGAACTGGTCGATGTTTAGTCATTTCATGAGGTGGTATATGATTAAGAACCAGTGGTATTAATGGAAGAAGTCCAAGCTGCACTGAAGGCATTAGCCAAAAACAAGAGTCTAGGAACTGACAGAATACCAGTGAGATGTTTCAACAAATGGATGCAATGCTGGAAACACTTGCTCATCTATGCCAGGAAATTTGGAAGATAGCTAACTGGCCAAGTGACTGAAAGAGGTCCAAATTTGTGCCCATTCCAAAGAAAGATGATCCAACAAAATGTGGAAGTTATAGAACAATGTTATTAATATCACATATAAGTAAAATTTTACTGAAGATGGTTGGTTCTATAAAAACTGGTTGCAGCAGTACATAGACGGGAACTGCCAGAAATTCAAGCGACATTCAGAAAAGGACATGCAATGAAGGATATCATTGCTGATGTCAGATGCGTCTTGGATAATAGTATAGGATACCAGAAAGATGTTTACCTGTGTTTTATTGACAATGAAAAGGCATTTGACTGTGGGTCATAATAAGTCATGGATAACATTGGGAAGAATGAGAATTCCAGAACACTTCATTGTGCTTATGTGGCATCTGTACATAGACCAGGAGGCTGTCATTCAAACAGAACAAGGGGACACTACATGGTTCAAAATCAGGAAAGGTGTGTGTCAGGGTTGTATCCTTTCACCATACTATTCAATCTGTATGCTGAGCAAATAGTCCGAGAAGCTGGACTATATGAAGAAGACCATGGCATCATGGTTGGAGGAAGACTCATTAACAGCCTGCGAGGAGCAGATGACACGACCTTCACTCCTTGCTTGCTGACAGTGAAGAGGACTTGATGCACTTACTGATGAAGATCTAAGACTATAGCTATATATATATATATAGTATGGATTGCGACTCAACATAAAGAAAATGAAAATCCTCACAACTGGACCAATAAGTATCACGATAAATGAAGAAAAGATTGAAGTTGTCAAGGATTTCATTTTACTTGGATCAATAATCAATGCCCATAGAAGCAGCAGTCAAGAAATCAAATAACACATTGCGTTGGGCAAATCTGCTGCAAAAGATCTCTTGAAATTGTTAAAAAGCGAAGATGTCCGTTTGAGGCCTAAGCTGTGCCTCACCCAAGCCATGATGTTTTCCATCACCTCGTATGCATGTGAGAGCTGGGCAATGAGTAAGGAAGACCAAAGAAGAACGGATCCTCTGAGTTATGGTGTTGGTGAAGAATGTGGAATATACCATGGACCTCCAGAGGGATAAACGAATCTGTCTTGGAACAAGTACAGCCAAGATGCTCCTTGCAAGCAAGAATGGGGAAACTTCATCTCACATGCTTTGGACATGTTATGAGGTGGGACGGGTCCCTGGAGAAGGACATCATGCTTGGTCAAGTACAAGGTCAGCAGAAGAAGAGGAAGACCCTCAACAAGACGGCTTGCCACGGCGACTGTGGCAGCGGGCTTGCCATGGCGACTGCGGCAGCGGGCTGAAACATAGCAACAGTTGTGAGGGTGGAGCGGGACCAGCCAGTGCTTCATGTTTCTATTGTACATAGAGTCAGTATGAGGCAGAACTGACGCGACAGCATCTAACAACAAAATAGTGGTGCACAGAACACCATGCTGTCGTTTCAGACGTGCATCAGTGCTGTGAGGACAGGCGGTGGCACAGAGACAGACTCAGGGTGGGGCGTATTCCGGGTGAACCGATCAGGGTGACATGCGAGCAGGGCGGAACATTCAGAGCAGAGAGAACAGCAAGGCTGGAGGCCCTGGGGCGGGAGCAAGTTTGGTGCAGAAAGGCTGCCCATGGGGTGCAGCAGCTGAGTGAACTGGGGCTGGAGGAGGATGGGAGAGGAGGCCTCAGCAGGGCCCAGGGTGCGGGCAAGTCTCTGGGCTGTAAGCGTTTGGGATTGTTCTGAATGCTGTGTGCTTTGTCTGGAGGGTTTGAAGTGGGTGGAGTCGTATGATCTGATTCATGTTTTTCAAAGTCCCTCTGGCTGCAGGGTGGAGACAGATGAGAGGGCCAGGGCAGAGGAGGGAGATCGTGGGGAGCCCACTGCAGAGAGGGGCTGGTGGCTCCAGCCAGGCCTGGGAGACATGGACAGATTCTGGGTGTGTTTTGATGATGGAGCCAGGGGTTTGTTAATGGGCCAGACAGGAGCTCGCAAACAGGGAAAACATCAAGGTGGACTCTGAGTTTCTGTCCCGGGGCCTGGAAGAATGGGGCTGCCGTGTTGTCAGCAGAAGAGGACTAGGGCAGCAGCAGATTTGGAGGGGACTCTCAAGACCCCGCTTGGGACATGGGAGTGTGAGAGGCCTGCTGGACTTCAAGGGGACACGTTGAGCAGGCAGCCCGATGACAGGGTCTGGAAGTTCTTGGAGAGGCTGGACTGTGGTAGACATTTGGAATCGTCACCAGGCAAATGGAGCCCAGTGCTGGCCCAGCAGGCACACAGTGAGGAGTGACTGCTGTGGGGCAGACCCCACAGGACAAAGCGGGAAGCAGCCAGTGGTGGGCTAGAGAGAGGGCTGGGAGGAGGAGGGCAGGTGCCGTGAAGGGCGCCAGGCTGGGCCTCGAGGGCTGCAAGGTTGGCAGGGAAGGCTTGGGAGGATCTGGGCTTCCGGGTTGGGGTGTGTGCCCTCTGCTGGCTGGCAGGGACTCACCACAGCCCCTCCGTGAGCGTCCCCTCCAAACCTGCCCACTGTGAGCTGTTGAGCTGGGTGGCTAGGCAGACACAGAGTTCAAAGAACCAATAGGCTGGAGGCAGCCCCGCAAGGGTGAGGCTGAGGCCCCACTGAGGGGTCACGGAAGCGTGCTGAGGTGCCAGCCCCAGAGACTGGGACACCAGCGTCAGGGGTGGGGGACGTCACCGTGCCATGGTTCAGAGCCACGTCTCACTGCATTTGCCCCCTCTCTTACCTTGTCTTCTCTCAGTCTCCAGGTGGGCTCGGGGAGGCCTTCCTGTTCCCGCTTTGCAGATGAGCAAACAGAGCCTGAGAGCATCAGTGGTTCCCTGGGCCCCATGTCCTGCTGAGGCAGGGCCTCCCTCGGGTGTGGGACTCCTCCCCCTGGGCCCTGTGGGGTTCTGGCCCCTCCGAGATCTGCTGCTTCTCACCTTGCCGAGCTCCTCAGGGATACCTGGTCCCCTCCACCCTTCCCAGGCATGACCCATGAAGACATTGTCCAGGAATCCAAGAAATACTGGCAGCAGATGGAGACGCACGCGGGGAAGGCCAACAGCAGCTTGGTAAGGCCCTGGGGCTGGCCGTGGGGTGGGATCCAGCACAGGGACCCCCAGCCCAGCCAGACTTCTCACCCTGGTGGGAAAACCTCCCAGGCCTTTACCGGCTGCTGAGGAGTTGACTCCAAGTCACAGCAACCCCAAGGCACGTCAGAGCAGGACTGCATCCTGTGAGCTGGTTTGTTTTTTTAATTACACTTTTCATGTCATGCCACCATTATTATTGTCCTTTTCTCAAATATCCCACCACCTATTATCATAAACTCAGTGCCCCCCAAACAAAAGCTTCCCCATCCCCCTGCCTCCTACCCCTGCTGAGCACTATAATCTTTGGTTTACATATAATGTAACCATTGCCGTGGAGTCAGTTCCGACTCGTAGCGACCCCTCCTTGGGTTTCTGAGGCGGTATCACTATGGAAGTAGATTGCCCAACCTTCCTTCTGAGGATTGGCTGGTGGTTAGCAGTCAGATGCCTCAGGCTCTATGCCACCAGCACTCGTATAGCCATAGGTTTTCAAAGGCTGGTTTTTTGGAAGCAAATTGCCAGGACTTTCTTATGAGGCATCTGAACCTGGGTGGACTCAAGCCACACCCAGTGGGTTCGAGCTGCCAGCCCTTCCGTTAGCCGGAGGCCTTAACTGTTTGCCGACCTCCCCCAGGGGCTTCCCTATTCCTTTCCTCCAAAGTAACTTCAGTCTTGCCCAAAAGTTGTAGGAATTACAAAGAATTCCTGGACACCTTTCACCACATTTCAGATTTGCTTTGTTCTTATGTGTGTGTGTGTGTGTACATACACATATATTCATTTACATACATCAATACACACACTTCCTTTTCTGAACTAT